TTGATGCATAGACATAAAAATAAGACATCCTGTCCCAGCTCTGACTTAGTTCAAGTGTAAAGCAACTACGAGCTTGATGCTACTATATACTTTATCTGGAAACGATCCAAGATGATAACAGGGAAACAGTGATTCAGGCAATACCCAAAAACGAACAGAGAAAATAGAGCCACTCCTCCTCACTCCTTGATATTACAGCCAAACTCACCTCAACTAACGTATGAAATTACAAGTCACATGCACCAGATCAACCTGTAACATTCAAAGTCAAACTAAATAAACAACCTTTCCACCATTCCCATCAGCAATTCTAACTTCGAATGGTTACCAGCTCCAAAAAAAACACAGATATAGAAATTCAGTGGTTGTCTAATCACCTACACAACATTCCAAGCATGATTGGTTGGTTACAACAACCTTTAATCCTTATTCTTTCTCTCTAGCCTCCTCATCAGCAGTTAAACTCAACTTGGTCCTCTTGTTACTCTTGTGCTATCCTTTCTTTCATAAGCCTTGAACGCTCTTGGTCCAATTGCTATGGGTCCATCAAACTTCTATAACTTCATTATTTTGCGACCTACTAGTCCAGTGATTGAATTCAAGGATAGCTCCACATAGGCCAATATTTTCCGAGATTTCTCTACAATCTGTTCTTCTATTTCCCTAGTCCCCATGTCCTATGTTCCTTCCTCTTCATTTGAGATTAGTATCTTAATTTGCTTGTTTATACACTACTGATCGGCCCAGATTTTTCTTGGATTTAAAACAAAGTCTAAGCCCTCGCCTTCTGTCAGTCTCAACCTAGGACAATCTCTTCTTGTTGCTACTACTGCCATTGCCACTGGCAATAGAGATAATAGGGATGGTGACCTAGTTACTAAAGGTCTTACTCTCCTCATCCCCTGTCATTTCCAGATTCTTCCAAACCAGACTGTAATTTCCACTTTTGGGCTAATGATCTTAAGACTCAAAAACCATTCATTAGTGTTTCCTAGTTGTTCACAACGTAATCCTACAAAGAACACTTTCTTCTTATCCGTTCAGCCATAAAATTTGCCATATTTGGGCCTGGCCTTATAAGCCCACAATTATCGTAGAGAACAGAATATCTTTACGCCACAAAGAGAATGATTCCTATGCCACTATGGGAGTTTATCTGTTCCACAAGATTGTTGGATGTGAACCGTAAACAATCATCTACCTCCATGTAATGATTGGCAGCAGCTACATAGTTTTTTACGAATCCTAGGCCTTGAGCCTCCACCAGCTAGAAAAGCAAGTTGACATAAATAAATCTCCATATTAAAAAGCTTATATAACCCTCATTTCATCCTAGCAACAGCAGAACTAAAATCAATAGCTCACGGGTCGTGTTGATGTCTAACTTCACCATTCAATTACATAACTCTTTGCAAAGAAATAGGTCATGGTAGAGGGCCAATATCATGGTACAAAAACATATCGGTAAATTCACGCTGGACATAATAGCAACTCTTTAGCGAATCTCTAGAGATCCCAAAACCCTCTTCAAGCATTTTGAATTTGGAAATGTCTCACCACTTCATTTATATAGTATGTGCAGCATCCTTTTAAATATGATACAGGAATAAACTTGCAATTAAGTAACTGATAAACCTGAGAATTGCTTTCTTTGTGAAATTTCCCTCTTCTGATCGATCTAGATGCTGAGAAAATGCAGGGGGAATAATATCAAATTGAAATTTCACAGGCTATTGCGTAGATATAAACAAAGTAATACATCCAGTCCCAGCTTTCAGACGTAGCTGAAGTCCAAAGCAACTACATGATCTATTGGATGAGGGCCTCAGGAAACTAGCTACATTATCTGGATACGAATCAGGGAGATAAAAGAGACAATGGGATTCGGGTCACGCGCAAAAACAAAGGAGGAGAAGAAAAGGGTCAGTCCTTCTCGCTCATCAACAAAGAGCCACACTAATCTCAGATAACGCAACTATAAATCATAATTCACCGCATCAATCCAAAACATTCAAATTAAATAAACATTCGATGTTAAATTTCAACCCCATCATTCTCATGACCAATTATAAAATCCGTAAGGTTATTAGCGCCAAAAATAACACTGCTATAGGGGGGAAAACTGACGTTGTCCGATCACTAATAGATACCAGCAACAACATGAAAATCAAAATGAGAGCTAAAGAGAAAGGAAGGCATACATATGTATTCAACTGCCTAACAAAGCTGGAGAAGTTATTGTGCTTGAAGTACTTAGGCAAAAGGTCCCGGGCAAACTCAGGAGGGTTCCAAACAATAAAGCTATTGTTGGTTGAGCTCCAAGAAACGATCGCATCACTGGACGGGTCATCCACCATGTCATATGTCTTACTAAGAAACGGCGGAGGCGCGTTGGTATTGGGAATGGGAGCAGGAGCCGGCGTCTGCGTGCCGCCGCCGGAGCCGCTGTTATTTGCTCCGTCCATGTCAAGAGTCGATTTACCAACACACAAGAATTTAAAATATAAAAAAAGAAATCTTTTTAAAAAATATGATTATCTAGAATCTATCGTTTTAAAGGGGATGCAATGCCGGCCATTTGTATGAAACTTAAACCCTAGTTGGAGGCAGGCATAGTCCAGAGAAGTGTTGGACTTGGAAAGGAAAGGAAAGAAAAGGTGAAGTGACAGAGAGAGATAGATCGACGAAGTTCAAGACTTTATAAAGAAAATGGGGTTCAAAAGGACAGGATAAAGAAGATTGTGTGTTTTAAGAGACGACGAACGGAGGATGCGACCTGGGTTTTACCCATTGAGGGACTGAGAAGAAGACGATGGATTTTTTTTTTTTTTTTTTTTGCTTTTTTTTGCCTTCCCTCTTTTTGGGGCCAAAGGGGATGGATTACTTTTTGAGAATTATGAATTTAGATTGGAAATATTGCGTTGACTTGTTAGACATTGGTTATACTCCAGATTTTAAGATCATCAATATCCATTTTAAGAGATATTTTTCTTTTGACAACGATTTTATTTTTTATTTTTTTTGCCATTCTTTTGCCAACGATTTTAACACATATAGTTATTTTAGTAATCAATCTGATAACAGTTCGTAAAGTTCTTCTATCACACATGCACAGCAGCATAGGCCTCTTATTTTTTTATATAAATGTATAGTTTAATAATATATTTTAAAAACAAGACATGAAAAACTTAATATAATAAATATAAGAAACTTAATTTAAATATTGTTATAGAAAATTAGTGAACTTGATTATTTATAACAAATAGATATTGATCTTTTACTCAAAAGATAAGTATATATTGATCTCTTAGAACATTAATAAAAATTTATTTTCACATGCGCAATCAATAAAAATGATATAATAAAAGTTTTATAAATTTGAAAAATAAAGATATTGAAGTCTCATGTTTAAAAAAGCTTCTATATTTAGGTTTGGAAAAAGTAACATGAGACATTTATTCAATAATCTATTGATCTTCTAATCAAAATATGAGACATTATTCAATAGTTGTTAGTTGTTGACAGAGGAACACATTTATGTTGCTTTATGCAATATACAAAGAGGATAAGAAATTAACAATGCTAAGAAAGTTCTGGTTAAAAACAAACATAATGCTAAGAAAGAATTAACCAAGTTATAATAAAAAAACTCGTCTATTGTCATATAATTGGTGAATTGGATGGCAAATACTTAGATTAGAGTAGCTGCATAAATTCATTTATATAAGAGCTAACTAGGGGTGTTCATAAAGCCCAGTAGCCCGCTATGCCCGCCCAAACCTGCAAAAAAATGCCCAGCCCGTCCTAAAAAAAATGGCCCGAAAGAACTATTGGGCATGTTCGGGCTGGGCAAACTGTTGGGCGGGGCTGGGCATCGGGCACGGTATGCTGCCCTGTCCATTTGGCCCTGCCAGCAAAAATATATATTATTTTATTTATATATATTTTATTTGCATGATATTTATTTTCTAAATCAAACGCATTGTTGTATCAATATTCAGTATTCATTATACTTATTTAATTTTGAATGATTTTGAGAGTTAGAAAGTAGAAAAATAATTAAGTTTAATAAAATATACTAACAACATTTTTTGTCATAGTCCACTCCTCTTAGCTACTACAAAAAGTAGTTTCATAGTATATTAATTAGTAATAACAAAATTAAGGCTAAGTTTCCATTTTAATAAAGTTACATTAGATTATTTAGAAGGATATAAATAATTAGTTAATTAATATAGTATATTGACTTGTTGGGCATAGAAGCCCGCCCTGCCCAGCCCGCATTTGCCCAGCCCAAATTTATTAGGGCTTTTCATGGGCAGGGCTGGGCAACGGGCTGCATTTTCCAGCCCGTTCATTCTTCGGGCTGGGCATCGGGCAAGGGTCCCGCCCTGCCCAGCCCTGCCCTGCCCTGCCCATGTGCAGCCCTAGAGCTAACCATGTCACTGCGTAAGAAGAGAACAATCTGCCCATGTTTGATTCACGGTTGAAAAATGTTTATACATATAGCATATATTTGTTAGGATTAATATAATTTTTTTATCTTTTAAATTTATTCTTATTTTGATTTGAAGTCCAGCAAGATAAAATGATTTAAGTTTTTATTAAATTATAAGAACTAATATTTAAAAAAATTAAAAAATTAAAATTTATGATTTAAAATTTAAGGGATTAAAATCAAAATAAATTTTTTTTAAAAGACTAAAGTTTATATTCAATCTATTTGTTATTTATTATATTGTAATTGTTATTTTTATTTGTAATTCAAAAATATAAATAACTTATTGACCGTAAAACTGCTTTCATTGTCTTGTCACAGACGTCCTATGCTCTGAACTTCACATGTTTATTTGGACTTTTTACATGTTATAAGAAAATCAATAATTAAACATTTATTATTATTGTCATTTAGTATTCCTCAAGACTCATTTCGCAACGCTTCAAAGTGAGTGAAGGAGTATTAACGCATATGTCTGGATTCCCCGTTTTTGCCATCCGCTGAGAATTCCCGCTTGGCCTCTCTGGGGCATTTGGCGGGAGGGAAAAGGGAAGGAAGAATGAGCTCGTCGGCTATGGAGGATGAGGCCCCTGACCTGGTCTGCCAACTTGAACACGTTCAAGGCTTGGTCGATGCTCTCAGCGCCGTTCGTTGGAAACGCCACCAGGTAGTTTATTCTCACTTACATCCTCATTTTCCACTTGGAATTGCGTCCCCGAACTATCACAACTATATCGATCTCTATGTGAATCAATTAGCTTATCGCTGTCGTCGCATCTAGGACGCGGTGGTAGAGTTGTCTGAGCACGGCATCGTTTTGATTGTGGAAGAAAGCGGTTGTCTTCAGGCCAAGGTTTATCTCAAACGCGAGGTACCCATTTTGCTTGTAATATTTGCATTCTTACTGGTATATCATCATAATTACGTATTGCGACGGTCTTCTTAGTTTCTCTGGGGAGTTCTGGTCGCAACATTCAAGTTAAATTCGAGTGGCATTCAGTATTTTGCCCTTTTTGCTCATGCAGTAATGCCTAGATTTGAGTTTGAATGTGTCTGTACTTGTAGCTATTCGCTCGTTATGATTACAACGCACAGGGACGGCCTCGTTTTGGAGTAAGCTTGGGCCTTCTAGTGGATTGTTTAAACGCATTCTCGGTTCCTGGTCAGTCAAGCATGATTGAAATTCAGTACCCTGGTCCTGACATGCAGGTTCTTCTGAAGTAAGTACCTTCGTTGATAATTTGTGTTTCACTGATTCGGGGACATGCAATGCTGACAGATTCGTCTTTCCTTGGCAAATTATTTATTAATAGACATTTTCATTTTTAGTGCCTGACAATGGCAAGGGCTGATAAGACCTGAAAATTCACTGGTTACTGAGTGCTAATTACAGTTCGATGGGCCCATTTCTTTAATCTGATGCGTTAATTAACGTTTATCATTTTGTAAAGTAAAGCTGTCCCCGGGAAGAAATAAATAATACTTTATCAAGTGAGAACTTCTGATGGATTCTGTCATTCTTTTTAGTCTAACTGGCATGCTGGCAAGTTTCATGGATTTTTATTGAACACAATACTTGGTTACTTTTAGTTTCTTACAGTGCTACAGGTGTAAAACTACACATTTTGTGGAACGGCCTGATCCATGAATGAAATTTACCTTCTTCACTATTTTAGGAAAGTTGATTCGGAGGTTGCTAGCATTTATGCAGAGATCAGGACAAGGATTCCTGACACAATGCCATGGGACTACAACTTTGAACCGGCTGGAACAAATCCTCTAACGTTTACTGTTAAGGTATGCTGCAAAGTTCTGATATCACCATGTCCCAGTTAGATGCTGCTTAACATTTCAGGTCTTGCCACCACAAATGCTGCTTTATATGTACACCTTGTTCCCTCAAGTTTCCAAATCTTGTATTTGCTTTATGAGATTGACAATAAGGTTTTTAATATTTAACTCTATAATAAGCTACTCTGCACTTGTACATGCTAATAAATTACTTTTGAGTTATGGAATAGGCCGCTTACCAACCTTAATGGTGCTCATTATTAAAATTCTTGGGTGCACTAAATGATGCGAGTTGTATTTTTTGTACTGTTTTTGAATTTATGGATCTATTCATGCTTTTTGAAAGAAAAACCATCTTGTTTAGTTTATTTTGGAGAATGCACTGCAACTTATATTCCAATTATGATATCAAAATCTAGTCTGCAGCACTGAAGGAAGCTATTGAGGATCTAGAATGGCCTGGATCAAGCATCCAGATCATTCTACAGCCAGTTCCCCCTTCTGTAACCTTGAAAGGTGAAGGCCATGGAGACTTGCAGGTTTGTGTTGTCTTGAACTAATGAATGAGCTCTTGTCGCTCTGGATCAATCTTATAGTGACAGTTTTTCTCATTCTCGCAGATAGACCTTATGTATTATGCAAATACTGATCTCTTGGCAGCATTTCAGTGTGATCACCGGGTTTCTTACAAGTAAAGTTTTGCATCATTACTTGAAGTAAAGCATGTTTTCCCTACCGTCATAATATCAAGACATTTCTTTGAATTCATGTCAGCAGGTACAAATACAAGTTCCTCAGAGCGACAACAACAAACATACCAAGCAGTGTTATCAAGGAAAACAGAGGAAGCAAGCTAACCGTTGGGAGAGGTGGACTTTTGAAAGTTCAGCATCTGGTTTCGATTGGCAAATTGCCTTCCTCACATGCATATGTAGATTCTGTGGGTTACCAGCAGCCGGGCCGTATAGCTTATATTGAATTTTTTGTGAAACCAGAGGAAATCGAAGATTCGGAATAATTATTAGACAGTTTTTGGAATATTACTGCTGCCAGGCTTTGCAGTGTACCTTGACTTTTTTAATGAATCGCTGTTGAAATCAAGTACAGGAGTAATTAAGGTTTTTCTTTTTAGTTTTACTATGTAAACCATAAATTTCTAGTACAGGAAAATGTTCCTTTTCCCCTTCTAGTAATCTTGCAACATTATAAACCATCTAGTTTGCAGCTAAGCCGGTAGCTAGAAATTTTTTTTAACACTATGGAGTTTAGGATTAATACTCATTAACTTATGTTACTAAATCTGTATTGAAACAAATTTCTTACTCTATTGTTTTCTGGTCTGGAAGACTCATATGGCACTATGGGTACAGCTTACTATTCTGTTCGTTCAAAGGTTTAGTTAGTAAATCAGGTTGGCTTTTGTAGAAAGCTGAACTAAAATCAACAGTAAGTATATCAATTTCCATCTATGGTATCAGGGCTGAGACATAGATGGACAATATAATTTTTTGTCTTCAATTTGTTGTAAAGTCCCTCAATGCATGATTTGATTGTACAAACTAACTCTATAAATAGGGATACTCTTGGGGTCAATGTTCTTACTTCCAACATAGAATTGTTAACATATGTAGTTTTTTCTCCTCCCGTTGAAAAATAAACAACCCTTCATAAATGCGCTATCAGTTTGTCACTATTGCTTGTTTATTCCCTTTTGCTTGATTTTGGATCCTATCCTTTGTTTTTCATAGTTCTATTGCCTTCCCCCACCCCAACCCGAGAGTATGAGAGAATAGCCTAATAGTAAGAGGATTTCTTTTTTTTTTTTTGGAACTTCTATTGAAATTTTCCAAAGAAACACTTAGGATTTAACACTTTATAACATGAAGCGGTTGTAATATTGTACCCAGAACAAAAAAATGAAGCGGTTGTAATAATGTATCTCTAAAATTTCTTAAAAATGATAACTCGATAAAATTGAAGAATTTCTAATATTTTCTCATATCACGTTCTTATGTTAGATGGCGGACTTTTCACTGCGTTTTTATTTAGTTTTTTATTTTGTTCTATTTTTTGTTGTTTTATTTTATTTTCCCAATGTTGTCCCTTGTCCTCTGCGTTTTGGAAGTTTTCCCGTGACTCTAGAGTTTCTATTTTTCCAAAAAAAAATAAAAGAATAATAAAGAAAGGTGATGTATTGGAAGAAGGAAGAGAAAATCACTTGGGAGTCCCACATCGCCTATTTTATCAAAGAAATGGCAGAATATAAATGATTGGAAAGGGCCCCCTTCTCGCCGTGCTTGGTAGCCCAAGCTTGTAACCCAAGTAGTGGTATCGGGTTGATGGTACACAGTTCAGGCGTCACCTGGTTGAGCTGGAGGCTGCGTTCGCTGGCTTACCCGTTCCAAGTCGGGAGCTGAGTCTAGACGGAGGGGTCTTGAGTCTCGTGGGCCTCCTAGACAGGGAGGAAAATGCGTGAGGCTGGCTTCACAGAGTAGCGAACACCTCTGGCTCTCTACAGTGGAAGGATAACAGGCCGCTGCACCCCCGGCTCACAATGCCCGGTGATCCTAGCTGCTTGAACCATCATTCTTTTTGAAATTCCCGTTTGGAACGGGGTAATACTCGTCATTCGTTGACTGTAGTATGTAATCGCCTTCGTTTTTAATATTACTCTCTAATTTGGAGACGTTTTAACGTTGATGGACCTGTCTTTCTTTCTTTAGCAGACCTTTATTTTCCTTGCTTCAGATGAAAGGGACCAATGGAAACTGACAATTTACAGGTCACAGGTTTTTAATTACAGCTTAGATATAGACCCTTTTATATTCTTGAATAAATTTTGAATTACACTTCGACTTACATTTTTCTGTTGTTACTGAGCTTTGGGAAATACGTAGACTTTGAAAGGAGGAGCATTTCTCTCTTGTGTAGTTTGTTGGGGAGAATGTTATGCAGTGCAACTTATCTTTCAATTATGGCGTCAAATTCTAGTCTGCAGCACTGATGGAAGTTATTGAGGATCTTGAGTGGCCTGGTTGAAGCATACAGATTATTCTACAGCCCATTCCCCCTTCTGTTACTCTAAAAGGTGAAGGGCCACGGAGAAGATTTGCAGCTTTGCATTGTTTTCAACTAATGAATGAGCACTTGCTCCCTCGGATCTATTATACTGTGAATGTTATTGTCTTGCTCGAAGATAGACCCCTGCTATGAACCTCACACAGAGTAGCAGAATTCAAAGGAATATATAGTGCTTACCTGAACTCCAATGACTCAAAAATCAGTACAAGATATACATGCAACTTGGAACTTGAAAGGAGAATGATAACGGAAGAATTACACCATAAGGGAAAACGACATGAATCAAAAAGGAGAGAAACTTTGAGATCAGAGAACTGAACCACAGGTAAAGGAGAAACTTCAGAGAGAAAAAGGGAGAGGATTCCACAGTAATCGTTAACAACCTTTGCACATGACAAGCATGTTCCCTTCTCTCTACGTCATCTTCCTTGGTCATCGATTCACCATGCTTCATTACATTATTTCAGAGTTTATCTTAACAGGTGCACAGGCTCCTCAGAGTATCAAGTAATATCCCAGGGGGGGAAAAAACAGAGGAAACAAGCTAACCATAGGATGAAGTGGGCTGCTGAAAGTTCATCAGCACCTAATATTGCCAAATCCGCTGCCTCACATACATATATCGATTCTGTGGGTTATCAGGACGAATAGCTTATATTTACTTATTTGTGAAATCAGAGGAAATCGAAGACTCTGCGGGTGATTATTAGGCTGTATTAAGCAAAATTTTTCCGCCAGGTTCTGCATTGTGCCTTGACATTCTCATTGGTTTGACGTCGAAATTTAGTACAGGAGTGATGAATGATTTTATTTTACTTTTACTCCGTGAAAAACGAATATCTTGTGCAGGAAGATGTTCTCTCCTCCCTCTCGGAACTCTTGACAGTCGTAAATTATCTGGTTTGTGCAGAAAATTCCTCCCCAAAAGAGTGTAGCGCCCCTCAAACTAAATTTGTGCTTATACATGATTTTATAAGAGTAACGTTTGGGCAAAAGATTGAAGTTTCAAAAGCTCTTCCATATGGTTCCACAAATGTATGGTTTGCTGCTGCTCTTACAATTCTTAATATTAGGTTGCAGGTAGCTTTGAATCAAATGGGCGGTTTCATTATGTAAATACATGAATATGACATTTAACTGTTGCAGTTGACTAAGTTGAAGTGATATAGGGTTTTAGTGCCGCGTATAGATACCTTGAGAAGCATGCTTGTTAAGTGGAGCATGCTTCGGTCAAAGAAAATCCAATCTGTAAAGTACTGAACTAAGAGCTGAGATAAACATAAACTTTACTGATATTGTTGAGTTTATGTTGTCATCACTTAGGAGATTAGATGATAAGATGAGACGGTGTCGTTGGATTATTTTGTCTTTGTGAATGAAGTTTTAGGGATGATAATAACATCATTAGATACTGAACAAAAATTCTGGGTGCAGCTTATGGGAAAGAATGATTATTGCAGCTTGAAAATTATTGTATGAGGAAAAAGAAGTAATTTATAAATTCTTTTGGCGTGTAGTATGTAAACGGTTTTTCCTAAACATTGCATTATTGCCTCTTAATTAATTACTACCTCCGGTCCTTAATATAAGATCTTGTTTGACTTTTATTTTAGTCCTAAATATAAGATTTCAATCCATTTTATTTCTCATATTTATGTATTTTTTCAAGGTGATTCTTCTAATAATAGTAGTTCTAACCAGTCTATTTGATTAGTAAGGATATTTTAGGAAAGACAATGCCTATTTATTACAAATAACTAACTTAACTTTTTTCTTAATTTCTTCAAATTAGTCAACTAGTTCTTATTACTCAGACTGGAGGTAGTATTTTCCAAACCGCTAAAAGAGATATGATAGTTTTCTTTAACAACTATTCAAATATCTCCAGAGCAGTTGGGGTTAAAATTTTAATTACATGAAGTTATTGTGTGCGTTGTCTCTGAAATACTATATACCTAATTTTTCTCATATATTATGTCATTCTTAATTATGTTGGATGGAAAATGTGTTTATGCACGGTGTATTTCTAGTCAGAAAATCCGTATAGAGAAGAGGGACTTTAGTGAAAATATATAAAAACTCGATCTGTCTTAATTAAATAAGGTTGAGACGTAGATGAAAATAATATCGTTGAAATAACTGCCTCCTGTATGAGCCCACTGATACTCAAACCTGACCGTATCAAAAGAAGAGACTATGCAAAAGATGATGATGATGAAGAAACCTTACTGACTAACTGATAAAATTTATGAGAGAGCTTATTTTTCAAAGTTGAATTTAATTAGGCTGAAAATGTGTGGAACTGGAAGTTTATTTTGTGGTTAAAGTTTGCTGAGGATTACATATTTAAATGATAGTGCTTGCCTTTTTACCAAATACAAGTACAAATGGGCATCTAATTCAACGATGAACACAGCTCAGGTTTCTGACTTTCTTCTCCGCTCTTCTCTCGTCCTTATCGCATATGCTTAACCGTCTCAATTTAATTTTCCTCTGAGATAAACACTTATGGGCAATATTTTTTTTCTAATGATACAAATTAATACAGAATACAGCGTAAATATAAGTAAAATATAATCATAGAGCTCATGAATCTCATATGTTATTTTATTGTCTCGGATCATTCTCATGCTTACAAACTCCATCATGTAAAAGATTTAATTTGGACTAAAATAGGCATTATATAAACTTATAAAAAAAAATATATATATCTCCTTTTTTGGTATTTGTTTTAGACCTTTTGCTTATATGTCTAAGTCAACATATCGTTTTTCCGTGTCAATTATGTATGCCCTTTCATCATCAAATCCTTATCCTGTACTAGCCCTATTTAATTTAACACGAAGTATGGTAATATACTAATATATGCATGGTATCATTAATTATTAGAATTGACTGAGTAGCTAAGTTAAGGCAACGTCTTTTATTTTCAATTCTTACTTGATTTATGTATTATCATGTCTCATTTTCATGTTAAAGATAATAAAAGATGAGAGTGGGCAATCAACCGAAAGTTTAGGACCTGTTTGTTTTCGAGTGTTGAAAACAATTTTTTATTTGTTAGGACCTGTTTTAGGACCTAACAAATTTTTTAGGACCTGTTTGTTT